TATATATATATATATATATATATATAAATATATTATTTTTATATAAAATGTATTTTATAAATATATATAATCAATTTTTTTTATCTAATAAAAAATATAATATAAGTATAAAAATTATAATATGTTAAATGAAAACATAATATTAATAAAATTATTGTAATATTATAATTTTAAATATATTCATATATATATTTTAAAAATAAATTAATTAATAATATAAACATATAATTATATTATTAATATAATATAAAATAGTAGAATAAATGTAATCAATTATTTAAAATTTTAAAACTATATTACTATCAAATCGAATTATATATTTGCATAACGTATAAAATCATTAAAAACCCTTCATTTTTACAATCGAAGGAAACATCGGATCTGGAAAATCTACATTAATTAAATTAATTGAAAAATCCATTGAGGAAGTTCAAGTAGTAAAAGAGCCGGCTTAAAACTGGTAATCTATTGGAGGTAATCCTGATTTAAATATATTAGACTTATTTTATTAAAATCCAAAAAGATGGGCTTATTCATTCTAGACTTATGCTTATTTTTCTAGATTATAATAATGGGAAAAATTCGAGTTTTCTAAAAAAAAAATCATATTTGAACGCAGTATACTTAGCGATAAATATATTTTTGCGTAAAATGGTTATAAATAAGGTTTTTTAAATAATATTGAAATGGCACTTTATAATGAATATTTTGATTTTCTTGCTGAAAAATTTTAAGCTAATAAAATAAATGGAATAATATATTTATATACTTCTCCTTCTATTTGTTTTAAAAGAATTTAAAAAAGAAAAAGATATGAAGAAGTAGGGATTGGAGTCGATTATTTGACTTAAATTCATTAAAGGCATGAAGAATGGCTAAAAGTGGATTAAAGTTGCAAATTACCGGTTCTTATTATTGACGGTAATAGAGATTTCGAGGATAATATAGATAGATAAAATGAAATTATTTAAGAAATATAAGCTATGATATAATGATTTTTATAATTAATTAATTAATTAATATATTGTGTATTTAATCAAAAAAAAAAAAGAAAATTCTATATATTTTTATATGTTTTTTCTTTTTTTTTATTAATTAAATATTTTTTTTAATTTAAAGAAAAAAATTAAAACCATAAAAATAAAATAAAAAATGCAAGTGCATTAAGTCAACAATTAAGTAGATTATTTACTAAAAAGAATAAATAATTTAAAGAAATAAAAAGATAAAAAGGAAAATAGATTAATAGATTTATATACAAAAAGTGAATATGTTTTAAAAGTAAAAAAAATTTTCCTAGATACCCAAAATATGAGAACTAGTTTTAAAATTGGAAGAAATAATACTTAAAGTTTAAAATAGTCAGTTGAGAGTTAAAAAGAAATCGAAAAAATAAAAAAAGAAATGATAAGAAAGGCTGTTTAATATATAAAATAAGAAGAACATGATAAAATAATTTAATAAAAAATTACAAATAAGAAAAATATATCTTTTTTAAGACATTAACTTTATGAATAAAAAATGTCTTAGAAAGAAAAAGTTAATTAGTTATTATAAAAAGGAAAAAATAATATAAATAGATTTTGGTAAAATCGTTTTAATAAAATCTAAGTAGAAAACCACTAAAAGGTTATTGAAAATATTTGCTAGAAAGAAGAAAAAGAATACTTTGTTAAAAAATTATAATAAAAAGAAATAGCTTTAATTTAATAAATTAAAAATTCTAAACTAATTTACTAAAATGCATAAAATTTATATAAGTAAACATTAAAAAGTTAACCTAATTGATTTTATTTTATATTATTTAAACAAATAAAAATATTAAGCAATTATATGAAATATATTATTTATTTATTAAATATAATATTATGAATAATTATTATTTAAATATAATAAAAATAATAAATTTATAAATATATATATATAAATATATATTCATATAAATTTTATTTTATATAAAATAAAATATATCATATTATACATTTTTAAAATAAATATATACATATGAATAAAATTTTAATTAATTTAATAATTATTTCAAATTTCAATCAAAATTTTATTATTTAGATTATTATAATTATTTTTATTATCAAAATGTCTTTTATCAATTTTATTATAAAGCATTATATTTTAAATACTGTTCCTTTTCATTTACATAATTTAAATTTTAATTAATATCAATCATAATATTTTTATTATTCCCATCATCTCTCCCTCCCCCAACAACCTAAATTTCATCCCTTTATTAAACAAACCAACATTCCACCATTTCATTAACCGAATTCACATAAACATCCCTTTATTCCGAAAAAGAAAACAATTAATTTTTCTATTCCAGTAACTTTTTAGTCACACTACTAACTTAAACCCTCCCTTACTGTCCTGTACTTTCCATTTTATTAGCTATAACTACATCTTTCCCATAAATATCATATCTCACAATATCTGTTCCAATAACTCCCCCTATTATATTACCTGTATGAATACCTATTCTCATATCCAAACCTTCAAATTTAATCTATTCTCTAACCTAACAAATAATCTTCACCATTTAAAAAGCCGTATTTACTATATTTACAGCTTCCTAAACTGCATTTCTTTTCCTAATATCAGTAAAGCTCATAACTACATAACAATCGCCAATTGTATAAAGCTTAAAAACATCATTTTCAACACAACACTTATCAAATTCGTAGAATAGGTTTCTTAGCATAAAAACTACTTACTCAGGTTCTACTGAACTGCTATATTTTGTAAAACCGGCTATATCAGCAAATAATAAAGTCACGTTTTAAAAACTGTCTACTAATTCAAGCTTTTCAGTATCGGGATTTATTAGAAATTTATCTAGAATATGTTTCGGAAGGAGGTTATGGAGTATTTGGGATTATTCAAAGGATTTTTTTTTTAAATTGTTTTAGTTATTGTAGGCATTTATGAGTAATTTTAATTGTATGTATTTTTAAATTAAATGGTATATTCCCATTAATATAGACTAGAAAATTAATTCATTTTCAAGGTTTTTATATATGACTAAAAATATCCAAATAATATTAAAAAAAACAAGAAAAATTAACGTATATAGATATTTAATAGAATTAAAAGAAGAAAGAATTAAAAAAACTAAATAACATTCGCCCAATTATATTCTAAATATTAAAGAACCGTCTTTTTTTTCTGGGAAACCGTCTAATTCTTATTAAATTTATATATTAAAGCTTTCATTGAGAATAACTGAAAGTGTAATAATTAATAATGAAAGTATTAAGAATCTGAGTTTTTTAGCTTTTTTTTTAACCAAAGTTTAATTTAAGCAATTAATTATGAAATAAGTAAAAGATAAACATACTCTTATAATAGTATTCCATATATAAAAAGATTATAGGTAATTTTTAATTAAATATTACATAAAAGTCTTAATTATAAAAATTAACATTAGTATAAAAATTTTATTTTTAATTTATTATTTATCCTCGTTAAATAATTATTCATAAAAATGGATAATATCAGACTAATTTTAACCTTCAGGGATTAAATAAAAGCTTTTTTTTGTCAATTAAATTAAATGATTGCTTTAGTTTTCCATTTCTAGTTTATCATTTATTAAAAGTTCATTGAATTGCTCTATATTAATTTATGTATTTTAAACATTTTCATAATTTTATAAATGTATTTTTTCATTTAAATGTAATTATATTTCCTATATTTTATTATTATTTAATTATATAGTATTCTATTATTATATATTCCTTTTTAATGGAATTTTTCCAAAACTTTAGGAATTTATCATGTTTGTATTATTTCCTATATTACTATTTATATTATTATTTTAAGATATATTATTGTTATTTCCATTATTACTATTTATATTTTTTATCCTTATATTATTTGTAGCTATCTTATTTTAATTTTTAGAGGAAGAAATTTTATTCTTATTTTATAAAATATCTTTATATTTCTTCGTAACCTTTTTCAAAAAATTCGTATTATATAAAATCCTAGGATTCCTTCCAGAAATAGTTTGCTATTTTCCATAAAAAATCGACTAAATTCCCCCTTAATTGCCCTAACCACTATTATTTTTAAATACCTGAAATGTCATAATGGTTCCTTTACCCTTCGCCTACACTTCTTTGGAATTAAATTTAAAAAGTGGTAAATTTTACTACTAAATAAAGCCAAAAGCCTACTCAGAAATAGTCATTTTTCCATCTTCTCCAGTAGACATTACTCTAGAAGTGGTATTTATAGTATCTCCTATTAATGAAAATTAAGGCTTATGGTAACCTATGACCCCTGCAATGACTCTTCCGTAATGAATTCCTATTTTAATTTTAAGTTTTTCCCCATTTTGACCCCAAGAAATTGATTTTACGAAATCCATGAAAATAAATCCTAAATTAATTAATTTTTCTACGGAATTATTTTATGTATTTTTTTTATTTTTTTTGTCTAAACTTAAACCACTCGCACAAACGTAAGATTTACCAACAGTCTCTATTTTTGAGCAGTCATTTTGGGTACAAAAAAGGTCGAAATTTTGGAATAAATTGTCCAAAAGTACTATTATTTTTTCCTTTTCTTGCTCAAGTATTTTTTCGAAATCACATATGTCGCAGAATAATAGACCCACAAGTCCCTAGTCTTCCGCCAATTGAATTTTACCGTCGGTTTATATCCGATTTCGGACAAATTTAGGTAATAGAATTTATAATACATTGCTTATTTTGCGATTATCGGCTATAAGTTTATTTATATTTAGGAAATCTTGTCTTTAGATCTTCTCTTGGGTATATTTGACCTGGATTAAATAATAAGAGAAGGCTAGAATATAAAATAGAATCATTATTATAGCATATATAAAGAAATTAGACTTTTAAGTATATGAAAAATAGGCTTAAATTAATTAAATTAAATATATAAAAGTCTATATGATTTATATATATAATGAAAAATCGAATCTACCTAAAAAAGTCAATGCATTAAAATAAAATAAATAAATTTATCGAAAAAAAAACAATTCTAAATCGAAAAAATCACAGATACATTTTCCCAAAATTCTAATCAATAAAATAAATAAATTCGAATGGAAAATATAGGTTTATCCTCGTGAAGAAAACTAAAAAACTATAGAAAAAAAAACAATAAAAACCTAAATTATTGCTATTATTAATTAAATTAAAGATGATTAATTCATATAATATATATAGAATTATATCAAAAGGTATAAATCAAATATTATTATTAAAAGCATGTTAAATATTTTAGAATATAAAAACCATTTCTTACCCTATTTATTAATAAATTGTTTCTCTATATCTTAATTTTTAAAACTTAAATTATAATTATTCATTCCTACTTATTAATCATTCCATTCGTAATTAGATATCACTTTAATATATGCATGTTTATAAATAAAAATATATAAAATAAATATAAAAATAAATATAAAATAATATATTTATTTTTATATATATATATATATATTCAATTATATATTTTATTTTTATACTGTTTTATATAATAGTATCCATCGTTTCAATTCCTTCTTAAGGGAATAAATTTTATACTAAATTGTTTAGTATTTATTAATAATTTTCTTTTTTCATAAATTAAATTTTTGGTTTATTTATATCAATTATTTCGTCAATTTTGTTTACAATTTATAGATATCTTTTTAGTTTTCTGATTATATTTTAAGGCAAAAAAGACGGTATTAAATAAAAATATTCTAAAAATACATGAATTGCATATAGAAATAATAATAGACTAAAATGTATAAAAAAGCTATAAAAATTGAAAAAATACTAATACATTTCTTAAAAAGCTCCCATATTATTTAAAACAGGTTATTCTAATGCTAAATAAATACATATTAATAAAAAAAGAATAGAAAAACTAGTAAAAAACTCTTTAAAATTTTGCCTTTGACTAACGCTTATTTTAATATTAGAAACTATAGATATACATAAAAAGCCTTAAATTTACATATTTCTTGTAGTAAATGTTTTCCCATTTTCTAGATTTTGAATAAAGTATAAAAGGAAACATAATACTATGAAAAAAATAAAAGATTCGATTAAAGAATGGGTAATTACATTAAAATAGAAGCTAGTAGTTTTTCCCATAAGAAGATTTTTCCCTTTTTGGGAAAATTGTCTTATTAAAATAATCTAATTTTGAATATTTTTACTTTTTTTCTTGAATTTCTTAATTAAATAAATAAATAAACTCATAAAATAAATAATTGTATGGAAATAAGTAATCTAAAAACCATTCCATAATGAATTTCCATAAGAGCAATCTTTTATATTTAACATTAATATAACATAACCCATCAAAAAAGATCTATAAAAAGTAAAAATTATTATCTCTTCATATATTTCAGCGAAAAAAACAGACTCAGAAAATAATAAATAAGAAATACTGTTCCAATCTTTTACTAAAATATCTCCTATATAATCATTATTATTATTTTACATTTATATTGATATATTTGAAATTTACATCATCTAAAATTATATAATATATTTTAAAAAATTTTAATTTACATTTTAATCGTTATATGAATCTCCTATTGATAATGTGTATGGATTATTAGGAAATTTTTATTATATAATTTATATAATAGAACCTTTTTAAGAATTATTTAAACCATAGGCAATTACTGAAGTTGCAAAAAAAGATAAAAAAACAAAATGATTTCTTAAATAATTATCATTGAAAATAATTTATATAGCTTATGAAGAACATACAATATAAAATTTATAGGGAATATTATAATAATTAATAGAATTTGATTTGTTTTTAGTTGATGAATCATAAAAATTATTATTTTTTTCAGCAAATTAATATTTTTATTCAAAACTTTTGGTTTTATAATTAATATTATTATTATTATTATTATTATTATTATTATTATTATTATTATTATTATTATTTTATATATTTTATATATTTTTAATATTTATTGAATCTTAACATTATAATTTTGAATTTTAAAAATTTAATTTAATCTAAAATAATAAAATAAAATTTTAAATATAAATATTTAAATTTTTACTCCATATTACTCTTTTTATTCGTAAAAAATAATTAAATTTTTAATATATTCGTACATATCTTATTTAATCAAGCAATTATTTTTTCCTTCATTATAAACTGAACTTAATTCTTCCCTAATCGCATTTTTCAACATTTCATAATTCTCTCCATCTAATAACAAACCTCTACTATTTGAGTCAATTACTGATGCCTAAAAAGCCGTACTAACTGCATTTATATATGAATCTCCTGTCAATAAGAAAGGAAAAAGTCCTCCAATTCTCATTTATTATATTGTATTTTCCACATTATCCTTAAGTTTTTCCTAAATATTAAATATGGCTAAAATTTCTACATTTTTTTCGATTTATTCATATAACTAATATAATTTATAATCATTTTAAACTACATTTTTTTTCAATATTTAACATTATCTTAAAAAATTTTCAGTTTCTTCCTCAGATAATTCTTTTTTGCAATATAAAATAGGCCTAAATCCACTCTAAATAGAACTATTTATACATTATTAGTAATATATTTCTTCTTATTTACTCCTAAAATATACATTTTTAGGTATTTCGTTATTTTTTAAAGCTATTCTTATATACAAAATTGATTTTTAATCATTTATGTCTTTAAATAAAATCGAAAATTAAAAAGACGAGTCTTTTTTTTAATGAATGGAAAGTATTTTATATTTAACTATTTTATTTTATATTTTAACTATGTAATTCGGTTAATTTATATCTTTCTTCTTTTATACACACAGAAATTTGTAATTTAAAATTTAAGCAAATTCATTTAAAATTTTCTCTTCTTTTGTCACAAAAGTGTTTATTATTTCCTCTTTTTTAAATACACATGAACTTGCGTTTACACATAAAATTATAGATAATAAAGCCTCGTGATTAATACTTTCATTATTTGAAAAAAGAGCACTAATGAAGTCATTTTCATCTAAAAAATCAACAAAAGTAGTCTATTTTATACTCTAATTTAGGTTTTTATTGTCAGTATGTAATTTTTATATTTACTCAATTTAGTTATTTTGACTATATAAGACCGCCGGCATGAACGAGAAATCCTAAGTTTAGTAAATTAAATTTACCTAAATATTCTCATCAGGTATATATGAATTATCCTATTATTATAATTAGTTTAGATTTAGATTCTAATTGCTTTTATTATTGTCATTTTTTATTATAGTATTCGAAAAGGTTCTGGAAGTAATATTATTCTAGCGATTTTTCATAATTTCCTTTAAAATATTTTCATTTATTAAATATTTTTTATGGCCTAAAATAATCATTTTTACATCGAATTTTCCGTTTTCAGTTAATGTTCCTGTTTTATCCAAAAAAGCATATTTTGAAATACATAAGTTCCCTAAAAAAATTTCTTTTAAAATTTTATATTATTATTAATTATTATTATTATTTTTCTAATAATTAAATGTTTTCTACATATAAATTTAATGTATTAATTCAATAAATTCCAATACAGTATAAAAAGAAGAAGGTAAAATATTTAAATATTCTATTATATAAGATAAAAATAAGTGTAAGATATTCTAATATTAAAAATTTCCAAATTATATAGAAAAACAAGGCGAAACTAATACAAAAAAGATTGATATCTTTCAAAATATATATATATATATAAATATATATAACTATATTTTTACAATACAATTTAAAATAATATGTAAGTATGCAAAAATAAAGAAGATTTTTAATTTTTCATCTAAAAAAAAAGAATGCTTTTTTTTTTAAAAAAAATGTTTATTATTATTTTATTCATATATTTTGCAATTTTTTCCAACAAAAATTACTAAACCATATATATAATCTGAAAAAACTAATTAACTACCTCTAAAAATAATATTTTTTTCATCTAAATTTTCACCTTTAGGGTCATTTATCAATTTCAAAAAACCATTAAAAACACCATTTTATTTACTATATTCGAGCTTACCGCATATAATTTTTCTATATTCAAATATATTTAATTTTAATTTAGAATTATCAGGGACTTAAATTTTATTAAATTAAATAATGTATAAATAATATTATATAATTATATATATATATATATATATATATATATATATATATATATATAGTTATTTATTATTATATATTATATTATTTTATAATTCTAAAATAGTTTTTTTTATTTACTATATGTTAATTAAGGTGCAAATTTAGAATTTTCTTTATATTTACCGAATATATTTTCTTCATTTACAGTACAAAATACCTATTTTGTATCTAAAATAAGTAAATCAGCTGGTGCAATTTCTCCTTTTTTTAATATAATAATATTCCCTATTTATATATCTTCCCATTTAATATTTTATGTCATTTTTATTTTTTAACTATCTCCTTTAATTGATTCACTCCTATATATTTTTTTATTTTATAAAGTTTTTTAAAATTTTTAATTTCCGAGTATGCTTTTCTTTATATGAATGAAACTAGTACATATTTATTGATTTATTTTTTTGCTTTATTTGTAATTCAGAAACAATGTTATTTAACGGAAAAGGTACATTATAAAACATATACATATAGGAAATATATAAACAATTAATATATCTTTACTTTTTTGTTTGTTTGTTTTTTATTTTATATATATTTATATATTTATTTTTTACTTCGAATGTGAAAAGTAAATTTTTTCGATATCATTATTATAGTCGTATATTTAAATAATTAAAATATTTAATAGTATTAATAGTATTCCAATTTTTTTAAAAAAATTATATATAATAAAGAAGAATATCGTTATTTTCTAAAATAATGTTTTTTTATTAAAAAAATAAAATAAAAGTTTATTTTGAATATATATATTTAAGCTATTATTAAAAAAATATCTAATTATAAATTACATTTTTATCGAAATCATTTATTTAATTTTTAATTTCTTTTTTATTTTAACCAAAACCTTTTACATATACAATGTTTCCGAACTCTAGTTCAATCTAATTTAATTTTATAATATAAAACAAAACTAAAATATTCATTTATTTTTAAAAACGCATTTATCGAATTGTTTCTATGTTTTTTAGTTAAAATTCTTCTTTTCCATTATAAAAGAAAAATAGATACATTTAACAAATTCGAATATAGCATTTAACATTTTATTATTATTTTAAATATAATTCTTTTTAAAAATATATATATATATTTAAATATAAATATATATTATTTATTATATTCATTATTTTTTAAAAATTTAAAAATAATTATAATTAAATACACAAATAAGTATAATATCAAATAAACATAATAATAAGAATCATAACAAAAAAATTAAAATAAAATATATATATAAAAAAAAAAAATGCACCTATTAAAATTATAAATAATATTATTATTAATAACCATAATAAAATCCCATAAATCAAAACATGAATAAGAAGAGGAAATAAATAAAAAATAAATAACATATGGCTCAGTAATTCGTATCAGAAACGAAGCAAATAGATATCATTTACGAACATCCGAAATATATTTAAATGAATAATCTATAGGTAATATAGTTACTTCAGTATTACCTGATACAGATATAAACTCTTTATTTACAATAAAAGAAGGATTGGGCTTTTAAAGGAAATCATTTACAACTCCAGTAAAATGTGGTGATGTGATTAGATTAGAACATGTAGTTACATAAAAAAATATTCATTCTACCTAAAATAAATGCCATATGAATCATCATTAGGAGGTTATTTCTTTCGGAACAAACGGACATGGTGATTATTTTGATAATTTTATGATATAATGTGCAAATAATATTAAGGAAGGAAGTCCATTGGAAGGAAAATATTAATTTTATTTACAGAATTATTAGACTAAACATTTCTTAGCATGTAATTAAAGATATATGTTTAATAGTAGGCTTTTAGCTGGATAAATTGAAGTCTATGGGATGTAATATAAAGATAATGATGCGGTTTGGAAAATTGTAGGAGGATATTTTTTCGAAAAAAATGAAATGGCTTTAGAAGAAAATGATGAAAATGATTAAAATTATGTTAAAAAATATGGAAAGATATTCGATTAAGAAGGATATGAAATTGTTTCTTATAGAAAAAAAGAAAATATATGATTATAAAATAATTTTTTTTTTATATATATTTATAATAATAATATATAAAAGATTCAATTTTTTTTTTTATTAATAATTTTTTGTATTTTTAATTTAATTTTATATTATTTAATTTTTATTTTAATATATATATATATATATATATATATATATATATATATATATATATATAAATTTATATTTATACATTATTAAAATATAATAATAACAACTAATTCATTTTTTTTTTTTTATTATTAATATAATTATTTAAAATTAATAATTAAATTTAAATTTATTAATCTTGTTTTTTTTTATATAAACAAAATATATTTAAATTTTTGTTTAAATACATTATTATTTTATTGTTATTTATAATTTAATACTTATATATATTTTAAATGTTTAATGATAGTGAAGGATTTGAAATGGTTCCTAGTGAATAGTTTTCTGAAATAGAATACGAAAATTTAAAAGTTTCTTCTGAACATGATAAAAATGAATAATCAAATTTAAGTTTTAGGAAATGTTCAAGTAGTTAAAAAGTAAAAAAATCTTTATTTTTCTTTTAATTTTTTTGAACAACAAAGTAAGCCCACTTGAAATCTAATTATCACCTTAATTCGGAATCGACTAAAATTAAAAAATATCAAATATTTTGCAAAATTCAATTAAAAATAACTAAAATTCTCTATAAAATAATAAAATTTAAACTAAAAATAATGAGAATTTACCAAAATATAATGAAAATTAAATACAAGTTAATGAAAATTCTATAAAAAATAATGAAAAATCGATAAAAAATAATGTAAATGATTAAAAACTAAAAAAGGAAAATATAGAGAATTTATAATATGAGAATTTATATATATAATATATTTAAAAATGCTAAAAATTAACAGAAACAGAAGTATAATAATTAATTGAAATTTTTTTTTTTTTTTTTTATAAAAATAACATAAATATATAAAGAATATATTATAACAAGAAATAATAAATAGTGAAGAATAAAGAAGTTATATAAAAGTTCTAAAAAATGAAATAGAAAAAAAGTATTAAAAAGTGGATGAAAATACATTAAATTATATATCTAAAAACGAAATTTAACAATATAATAATAAATACTAAGAAAAATTAATTTAATAAAAAGAAAATCAAATAAATTTATTAAAATAGGCAAATTAAGGGTTGGTAAACGATTTAAATATGGCTTTAGAAAAATTAGATTAGTTTAATTTTGAAAAGGAAAATCTTTAAAAGGAAAATTTCAAAAAAATAATTAAATTCTTCATTTAAAAAAATCAATTAATAAATAAATTTTAGATAAAAAATATCAAAAAGAAGAATTTTTTTTTTAAAATAATAACAAAAATCATCATTTTAAATAAATAGATAATTAGTTTTAATAAAAAATTGAATTTCTTACAAATAATTTCTTAAATTAAAAAAATTAATATCTATAGGAAATATAAAATCTAGAAAACATAATAAAATAACTTTAAAACTCTGAAAAAGAACATTAAAACGAAAAAAATATACTATAAAACGAAAAAAATACACTATAAAACGAAAAAAATACGCTTTAAAATCAAAAAAACTAATTATTATAAGAAAAAAACTAATTATTTATAGAAAAAAACTAATTAGTATAAGAAAAAAGTTAATTATTATAAGAAAAAAGCAAATTAATATAAGAAAATAATTAATTTTTAGAATAAATAAATGATTTATAAAAATAAAATGAACTAATTATTGAGGAAAAAAACCTACTTTTGGATGAAAAAAACTAACTTTTAGAATATAAGAATTAACTTTTTAATGAAAATAATGTACTTTTAAATGAAAAAAATGAAATATTGCTTAATTTTTAAAATGAAAATAATAATATTTTAGGTTATTTTATAAAAAAATTAATATCTATTTGTTAAATATAAAAAAATTAATATTTAAAAGAATAAAACTAAGATTTAAAATAATAAAATGAATATTTAAAAGAAATTCAAGAAAATTTAAAATAAAAAATTGAAGAAAATGAATAAAAAGAAAAGGATTTTTTCGAAAAAAAATCAATTGAAATTCAATAAAAAAACGACGAAATTTAAAAAGAAAAAAAACTCGAAATTTAAAATTTGAAAAAAGACTTAAATTTACAAAAAGAAAAAACTAAAAAAAAAAAGAAAAAATCAATCAAATATAAGAATTTTCACAAAACTAAATCAAAATTCTAAACGAAAAATTTTAAATACAAATTCAAGAAATTTTATAAAAAAATGAAAATGAAAATAATGAAAAACAATAGTGTTTCTAAAAACAAATAAATTAATTATAAATTCATTTTTAAAATTAAATTTAATAATTATAAAATTCAAATAATTTATTAAATAAAGAAATTTTACATTTGAAATAGATAAATGAACACTAAGAAACTATATTATAAAAAGAAAAATATGAAAAAACTTAAATTGATAAATAAATTAAAATACAAGAATTCTAAATATCTTAATTTTAAAATATATTATCTAAATACGAATAAGATTCAGCATAATACCATACTTTAAAAATAATTTATTAGGCCAATGTTGATTTTTATGAAAAAGAAATTTCGAAATTCTTAAATACTAATAATAATAATAATAATAATAATAATAATAATAATAATAATAATCAATAATAATAAAAACAAAAAATAGATTTCTTAAAAATGTATTATAAATTCTTAAAAAAATAAAAAAGATTTTAAATGTAAATATAACATTAAATGAAAATCATGAACCAGAACATTTAATTAATTAAATAGATAGTTTAATAGGACATGCATTTGATTTAAATATATAAAAAAATTCTACATTAAAAAGAGAAAAATTAGATATAATTAAAGACACTAAAGTATATTATATGATAATAAATATATAAGATTATAAATAAATATATATATATATATATATATATATATATTATGTATATATGTTAATATATTTGAATATTTATAGATTTTCAGTAATTCTAATTTTAGTCTTGAAAATAATGATATATATGAATAAGTTGAAAGTATTAATTTATAATTAAATTTTTTGAATAAGGAATTAATATAATTATAAGAAAAATTAATGAATACTTCTTAAAATAATTAAAAGATTTCTTTATAATGCAAAATAAATAATATTTAAAATGAAATTTAGGATATGAATATAAAAAAATAAGAACTTGAATTAAATTTTAATATAGAAAGCTCTAATACATATATAAAATAAACAATATTGGATTAGGAAAATCAAAGAAACATTATTAATATTTAAAAATTTTAAAATAAAATAACTTTTAAAAATTGAAATTTATACTTTTTTTATAAATCATTTTTGTTTTTTTATAAAAATTAATTTAAATATAAATAAAACTAAATAATTTTAATTTATATTTAAAATAAAAACATGGGTTGTTGTGAAAGTAATCAAAAGACAAACGATATTAAAATATCTAATTCAAAAGAAAAAATTAAAAAACCATAATATTAAAAAGAAGAAGAATAGTAAGATATAAGTCACTTAAATAATATCGAAAATCAAGAAAAAATTATAAAAATATAAGCTGCAATAAGAGGAAATTAAGTGAGGAAAGAATAAAAATTAAATAAAAAGCAAAATTAAAGTACCAAAAGATTATGAGTAAAAATAAAAAATAAAAAAAAAAATAATAATAAAAAAATAGTAATAAATAATAAAAAAAAAGATACAATTATTTAAAATAAAAAAAAAAAGTTTTTTATGAAAAATAAAAAAATATATATATATATATATTATTAAATAAATATTTTCTCTTTTTTTTTTATTATATTTATTTTTCGATTGTGTTTTTTAAAATAAAAAATTACAGAAAAAAAATAATATTTTAAAAAATGATTTTATATTAGTAATAAATTATACATCTTAAATAAAATAATTTTTTATCTTTATTAAAAAAAACTAATAATATTATAAAATAATTTCTAAAATTTATACAAATTATATATTTAAATTTTAATATATTGTTGAAATTTTTTTAATAATATATAAAATATATTATATCGAAATACTTTAAAATATTATTTTTATATATGGATTTATATAAATTTAATATTAAAAATAAATATTATCATAAATTAAATTCACATATATAAATATTCTTTTTATTTATTTACATTAAATAAATAATAAAATATATATTTTTTTATATTTTCTTTATTTAAATATACTAATATTAAATCCAAAATTAATAATAAAATATGTATTAATTTACATATAATAATTTTATATAAGATACAATAAAATTTATATAAAACAAAAATTATTATTTTTTTTTAATAAAAAAAAAAAACATGGATTAACATTAAGATTAAAAAGAAGAAACTTTAGCCACTCCCGGTGTCCTTGATAAATATCAAGCTGCAGGAAAAGTAGCAAATCGTAAAAAATAATAAAAAAAAAAAAAACTATATTTTCAATAAAAAATAGATGTATTATAACAATTACTTGAAAAAATAATGCCAGGAGCCAAAATAGTTGAAATATGTGATTTTGGAGATAAACTTATAGATTCTGAAGTAACAATTTTTTTTTTTTTATTTATTTATATATGTATTTGTTTTGTCAAAAAATACATAAAGCTGGCTAAATAATTCACTAAAAAAAAACTCTAAAAAGGGCCTGCATTCCCTACTTGTATTTCCGTAAACGAAATATGTGGACATTATTCCCCTTTAATTTCAGATTCCGAAGACAAAGAAAAAGATTAATCTTTACTAAAAGAAGGTGATGTAGTTAAGATGTAAATATATATAAAAATATATAAATAAAAATATTTATATAATATATATATATATATATATATATATATATATATATATATATATATTTATATATATATATATCTTTAAGTGATTTAGGTGCCCAAATAGACGGATTCATCGCTTTAGCAGCCCATACAGTCGTATGTAGAAGCGAAAAAAAATAAAAAGTCCAAGGAAGAAAAGCTGATGTAGTATTAGCTGCATATAATGCTTTATAGGCCTGTTTACGTACATTAAAGCCAGGAAATAATAACAATTAAACATCCGAAATAATCCAAAAAGTAGTTGATTAATACAAATGTAATCCTTTAGAAGGTGTATTAAGCCATGAATTGAAAAAATACATGATAGACGGTAATAACTGCATTATAAATAAAGACACATATGACCAAAAAGTAGATTTGCATGAATATAACGTAAATGAAGTTTACGCTTTGGACATTATCGTATCTACAGGAGATGGTAAACCTAAAGAAACTGAATTTAGAACTACTGTATATAAAAGAGCTTTAGAAAATTCATATAATCTCAAAACTAAACATGGAAGAGCTTTTTTCCATACTCTAATTGAAAAATATCCTGCTTTATGCTTCTCTATGAGAAATTTTGAAGATGAAATTTCAACTAAATTAGGAGTTGCGGAATGCTTAAAACATGATTTGTTGAATTCTTATCCTGTTTTAACAGAAAAAAAAGGAGATTTTGTTGCTTAATTTAAATACACTGTTGCAATTATGCCAAAATAAATATTAACTATTTGTGGATTGGGATTAGATATAGAAAATTATTTGGGGGATAACTAAATAACAGATGAAACTATAAAAACATTGTTAGAAACACCAATTACAAAAAAAAAATGAAAATTATTTTTATTTTCTTATATATATAAAATTATTATTATATTTTATTAAAATATATATATAAATATATATTTTATTTAAAAATTAACATTTAAAAATAAATTATATATATTAAATTAAATTCTTATTTCTATATATTTAATATTTTAAATTATACATATATATATATATATATTTATATATATATATATATATATAATTAAATTAATTTAAAAAATTATTTATATTATGTTAAAAATATTATTTAAAAAAATTAAATATTAATTATATAATAAATAGTTTAATAATAATAATAATAATAATAATAAAAATAATAATAATAATAATAATAATAATAAATATTATAATATAATAATAAATATAATAATAATTATATATATAATAATATATATAAAAATATTTTTAAATAAATATTTATATAATAAAAAATTATTATTTTTAAAATTTAATTTTTTATATTTTTATTATTTTTTCAAATTTAAAATTTTTTTTTAAAGTAAGTTAAAAAATAAAAAAACATTAAAAAAATTAAAAAACACGATATATATATATATATATATATGAAATAAATCGAGGAATCTCAATCAGAAAAAATACAAATAATAATCCGAATTAAAAAAATAGCAAAAGACGACCCAAATTAAAACAAAACTATCTCAATTCGTTCAAACTAAAACTAAATTTTCGTAAAGAAATTTTCCTAAACTGAAAAAGCCTATACATATGATTATGTATTAAGCCAAGAAAGTACTTAAGAAGAATTATTTACAAAAATCGGAAATCCCACTATTATATCATTTTTAAAAGGCTTTAATGTAAATATTTTTGCATATGGATAAACTGGGGCAGGTAAAACATACACCATGACAGGAAAAAAAGGTGAAGAAGGCATTCAACCACGAATAATAGAAAGCTTATTTTAATAACTAGAATAGAGAAAAAATACTAATTAAATTAAATATTATAATATTGAAATTAGCTACTTTGAAATATATAACGAGAAAATTAATGATCTCATAGAATTAAAAAAAGACCTTTAAATAAGGGAAAATCATGGACATCCTTTTATTGAAAATTTAACAATAAGAAAAGTACAAAATGCACAAGAAGCATTACATTTATTTTAAATTTCAACTGAAAATAGAACAAAAGCTTTTACTAAATCTAATAATGAATCATCTAGGTATTTTTATTTTTTTTAATTTGACATTATATATATATATATATTTATAGATCACATTCTATTTTTACTATAAAACTTGAATATATGGATTCTAATTATAATAGAATTAAATCTTAATTAAATTTTGTTGATATGGCAGGAAGTGAGAGATAGAAAAAAACTTAATCTGAAGGTATTAGATTGTAAGAAGCAAGTATGAAATATAAATAATATATATATATATATATATATATTTATATATATATATACATATTATTTTTTTTATTTTTATTATATTAATTTTATTATTTAAAAATAAATTTTTAGATAATATTAATAAAAGTCTTTTTTAATTTTCTTTAGTTATTAAAGGTTTAGCTTAATAGAAATAAGTTGGATATAGAGATAGTAATCTTACTTATATATTAAAAGATTGTTTAGAATAAAAAAATAAAACTTATGTTATATGCGCTATTAACCCTTTATTTTTACATTTAGATGAAAGCGAGAACACATTACATTTTGCTTAGAATGCTAAAAAAATAAAAATAAATCCTTAAATTAATAAGATAAATTTATCTGAAAAAGAACTTTCTTTAAAAAAAATTAAAGAATTAGAAAATTAAATTGAAAATTATAAAATTTAAATTGAATTTTAAAAAATATAAATTTCATAATTTTAAAATACAATAAAAGATTTTGATTTTAAATAAGGGTATTTATATATAAAATACTTAATTTTTTTATTCATTTAAAAAAAAAATATATATATTAATTAATTATAAGGGAATATGTAAAGGATTAATAAGAAAATTAAAGAGTAAAAATCAAATTTTATATAAACAATATTTTTTATTTAAAAAAAAAAAAAAAAGATAATTAATTAATTACTTAATGAACTATCTTAAAAAAATAATGAAATAGAATAAATAAATGAAGAAAATAATAAATATAAAAACTAATTGTTATATAATTAAAAACAAACGGAATAAAAAATAAATGATAATAATTTTGATACACCAAATCCTGACTTTTAATTCTAGTTTAAATAAAATTAAATCGAATTAAATCAAAATCAAATATAAAATCACTAAATATAAACATTAAAGATCTAAAATAATATAAGTTCTTAAAAAATAAAAGAACTTACACAATAAAACATAAACTTGAATGAAAAAATAAAAAGTTTAAATAACGAACTATAAAATTTTCAAATTTAATAATTTTAAAATTCTTCAAATGATATTTTTATAAAGGAAGATTAATTTAATGAGTCTTTTTTAATTAAAAGTTAATAAAGTGTTTTAAATGAATTAAATTTAAATACATAAATATTAAATAATTATTAACATATACTAAATTATTAATAAAAACAATTAGAAAGTATAAACTTATTATAAAATTAAAAATAATATAGAAATGATTCTATCCTTTTACGATCCTAATAGAGCATAATTAATGAACTGGATTTTTTTAGTAGTAATATATTTAAAAATAAAAAAAGTGATTTTCCACATTCTGCTAGAGAAATTAAAATTATTAAAAGTTCATAATTAAAAACAAAAAATAATAATAATAATAATAAAAGGAAATTAAATTAAATTTAATAATCGGAATATATAGAAGAAGAAAATAAATAAATAAAATTAGGAAAAAAGAAATAAAATAAAATTTTTATAAAAGAAAATAATTAAAATTCGTTAAATGTTTAATAGATATATAAATAAGGAAATACTAAAAAAGAAAATTATAATAAAATTAAAAAAATTATTATTAGAAAAATTGTAAAGGATTGTAATATTAAAGAATTATTAGTTTCGAATTAAGATATTAAAAAAATTTAAAATAATTTAAAATTCTTCTTTGATAATATTTTAAAAATTTATAAAATATTCAAATATATTATTTTTTAATGGAGTAAAAAATAAGTCACATTTTAATAATTTGAAATTGAAATTAATAATTATGTCTTAAATTAATCTATTATAGATATCTTTAATTTTCATGTAAATATAAAACTATTTAATATCAATGTATTTTATAAATTATAAATATAAATAAAGATTGATAATTAAATTATTAATTTTGACAAATTAAATGAAGAAGAAAAGATTATTTTTTTAAAAATAGCTTATAATTTAAAAAAGGAATATTAAAATTGAATATATGAAAAAAATAAAAAAAATATTTATTATTATTATATATATATATAATACTATATATAAATTTTAATATAATAATTTATTTATTCAACTATTATCTTAATTTTACTTCTATAAAACATTACAAACACAATTTATAATTTTTTTTATACTAAAACTTGTTTTTTATAAATTATATATAAATATATTGTTTATTTGTTTATATATAATCCAAAAAAATTTAATCATAAAGTAAATAATATATTTTATAAATAATAATTTAACAAAATAAATATATATTTAAAATAGGAGACTTTATAATAAATTAAACACACCAATAAAAAACAAACAAAAAAAACACACAAAATTTATTTTTATTAACAAAAAAAAATGCACTCAACACTATAATAATACAATTATGGTCTAATTCCTTCAAAAGATACTTCTTAAAAATTCATAACAAATTTTTATAAAGTTCAAATAAATAATGAAAACATCTACATGTATAAATTTACCCAAGAATTTCAAGACGAAGAACTTCTAGCAATAATAAAGTAATCTTATCAACAACTTTCTACAATTTTTGAGAAAAAGTTCATAATCTAAAGACCTATAATAATATCTCCTTTAAACATTTCAAACGATAAACTTCTCCAAACCAAAATTTAATTCGGTTCTAAAGATTAAAAAGACTACATGTAATTATCTTTAAGAAAAGTCTAATAAACACAACTAGAAAACGAAAAATAAATAAAAAATATATTCGGACTTTTAACAAAAACAATGCTTCAAGACCTCCGTTTAGAAAAGCTTGGAAAAAAATACTTTGAAAAAACTCCTTGTATAGACCTAAAAGACTTCAAAATGTAAATTCTAGCCGGATATTTGACTTCTTTAGAAAGTTATTAATTTAATTCTAAACTTTTAAATATTGATTCATGTTTTAAAGTGACAAGGAAATAAACTCTTATCGAACTTATATAATAATAAAATGAACTAACTAACATAACTAATTTTAAAGGAAATATTATAATCACCATGTACAATAATAAATTTCATAGAATAGAATAGATTATGCCAGAAATGACTCCATAAGACAATTTCTAAGATTAAAAAGGAAACGTTATAACTTACGAAGATTATTACTTTAAACAATATGGAATATAAAATATTAATCCTAAATAACCTTTAATTAAATGTATTAAACTAATAGGAAAAACTAAAAAACCTTTCGAATATTATTTAATACCTTCATTATGTTATGTTACAGGCATATTTTTATTTATAAAAAAATATATAAATAGTTATATATATATATAAATATTTATATATATATATATATATATATATATATATATATATATATATATATATATATACATATATAATCTAGGATTAACTAATTAATAAAAAAGTGACTTCCATTTAATGAAAAAACTAGCAGAAACAACAAAACCTAATGCTTAAATTAGATAAAATCAATAATTGAAATTCGTTAAATAATTGCGAACTGATTGCGATAGGAGAATGAAAGACTGGAACATAAACATAAACGAGATTCCTGAAAAAATAAATTTTAAATAACTATCTCCGGGAAATTTGCTTATGGACTAAACCCCGAATTGCAAGAAAGCATTTAACGTCCTTAATTGTAATTTAGACAGGGATACATAAACTAAAATGTTCGAATAACCAGCGTTGAAAAAATGGGCAATTTTTTATTATAAGGATGATCAGTAAATTTTTAATAAACTTACTAATATGTTCCAAGAATGTCTCAAATTCTGTTAATATCCCTGTCAAGCCCCGTTTTCAGTAAAAGTAGACGAAAATACAGCCAATGGATGGATCAATGTATTAAAGTCTTCACCAGATGATGCCTAGATGTGTGTTATTTTGTTAAGAGGAAAGAAAAAAAGTGGATAATTTTATGATTAAATTAAACTCTTTTTAACTAACTAAAAACCTATTCCTTCTTAAGTTATTTTAACTTCTACTGCTTCTAATGATAAAGGAGTATTATATATTTATTAAATTAATGTATACCTTAATAAATTTATGTTAGCTTAGGACTGTAGTGAATAAATTATTAGTCTAAATATGTTCTAAAACAGGAGGAATTCCTTGGGTTATGAGTGATATGCCTTTTCAAGATTAGCCAACTATGATTGTTGGGATTGATGTGTATCATAATATTTCAGGAAAATAATAGTCTATATTGGGATTTGTGGCTACTACAAATGTTCATTTCACCAAATATTATTCAAGTTCTGTTATGATGTAATAAGGATAAGAAATAAGCTAATATCTTTAATAAATATATGTTAATGCTTTAAAATAGTTTAATAAGTTTAATGGTATTTATCCTAAAAGAGTTATTGTTTTTAGAGATGGAATTAGTTAAGGATAATTCAAAGTTATATAAGAAATCGAAATGCCTTAATTAAATTAGGCTATTAAATAAATTTAAGAATGTGGAGATATTAAGTTTTGTATCATTTCAGTTAATAAAGTAAACTATTTATTTATTTTATATAAAAAAAAAATGTAAGTTAACATCTACAAAATTCTATCAATGTGATGAAAGAAAGCCAAATAGTTGCTAAAATCCACCTTAAGGGGCCCTTATTGAAAATTTAATTACTAAAGGAGATCATGATTTTTATATTGTTAGTTAAAAAGCATATTAAGGTTATATATTTAAAAAAAAAAAAAAAAAAAAAAAAAATTAGTATATATTTATATATAGGAACTTCTTCACCTACTCATTATTATATAGTTTATAATGATATAATTCCTTTTGAATTACAAAAACTAGAATTCAGAGAATATATTTAGTTCAAAAGAGAACTTTAACTTCTAGCTTTTAAAAGTACTTTTCTTTATTATAATTATTCAGGAGCTATTAAAGAACCTAGTGCTGTTAGATATGCTCATGTTTTGTGTAATTTTGTTGGTCAAAAATACAATCCTAGTGTTCCTAATTCTTTGATTTAAGCTCATTAGTAATACGATAATTTGCAATCTCTTTATTTTATTTGAAAAATAATTTATTTTTTAATAAATTTATATTAGATAGAAAAAACAAGAAAATATCATAAAAAAATAATAAACTGAATTATATAAATATATTAAATATTTTAATAAAAAAAGTTAAAATTAAACAAAAAATTAATTTATTTTTAATTATAATTTATGTATAAAATTATAAAATAAATAAATAAAATAATTTTATAATGTAATATATATTTATATATTATATTTTTATTTTATTTTAATAAAAAAATAGGTAACTAAATATTTATTTTTTAATATGAAAATATAATAAAGGAAATAAGAGATAATTTTATTTTAAATATATTTCTTTGTAAAAATAAATAAATCGTTTTCAAGCTTAATTTTATAAATCGTCCGGATTTTAAAGCATCATATTATCTTATAACATATTTAATTTATCAGATTTTCCTTTTTATGTTTAAGAATTATCATTAATTTAGAAATATTAACTAATAGCAGTATTAACTTACTATCCAATTTCTTATTTTATTTCCAAATTCATCAATCTTTTATAAATAAAGAAAATAGTAGCCATAAGTAAAAGTAAGGATCCACCAATAACAATATACCAACCTAAATGGAAATCTTAAGCTTAATCAGAATCATAATCTATAAAAAAAAATATATTTAATTTAGAATAAAAAAAATAAACCATGTTTAAATTCTACATATTTATCGAATGAATTAAAACAATTTAAGGGTTAATCAATAAAAGCGTCACATATAAATTCATATATAGGTCCTTCAGCAGTAATATCACCCTAAATTATAATAATAATTAAAAATATATATATAAATATAAAATTATAATATATATATATATTTATATATATATATATATATATATATAAATATATTTTTATATTATTTACTCTAAAGAAATCTTAATTGACAATAAGTGCAGGGAAAATATCTACTTCTAATTCAAAGAATGTTAATAGTTCTGCACTAAGAATTTTATTATCATTAACAGCATAATTAATAGGCTAATATCCTTACTTAATAAATGATTTTTCAAATTATAATTTAACTGCCTCTATTTATTCTTCCTTAAATCCCACATTTTCCATACTTTTATAAGAACATATTTCTAATTCTCTCGCACTTTTAGAATTTAAGCATACATCTCCGAAATCAATTGCATAATCCCACCACAATTTCGGATATAACTTTGAAATAATAATCTATCTTAAATCTTCTAATACAACACTACTAGTGAGTTCATCATTATCCTTCAATTCAGGAGAGCAATATCTACCATTAGAGACACAATTATCTTTTGTTAAACTATAGAAATTTTCTCTTGATTCAATGTCATATGTGAGTGCAAAATGTACTTAGAATTTGATATTAAAGCCCTCTAATTAGATTGCATCGTAATGTTTTTTAAAATTTTTAATAAATTAATATGAATCTTAATCTAAAGAGCTCATCCAAAAGACAACATTTATATTATTTGCTTCTTTATGCTTTTTTTTTTTTTTTTTTTTTTTAATTTTTTTAATTATTTACTTATTCAAATTCTACTTTTATATCAACTTTTTAGTTTGGATTTTGTAAAATAAAATTTTGGATTTATTCACCATTACTTTTGTTTATAAATAAGGTACTTATAACTAAATGTTTTCCAGTATGATCATCCATTAAAATAATATCTTATTCAGATTCATTATCATAATTATCATATATTATTAATAATCCCACTCCAGCTAATTCAGCGTTTTTCGCTTTAGTAACAAACGAACAGTTTCCTCTTTATATTAAATATATAGACTATTATGAAAATCCTTATGTTTCTTAATTAGAAATTGACTTTTTTTTATTATTTATTTTTTTAAAATAAATATATATATATATATATATAAATATACTTAAATTTCCTAACATCCATCGGATATTTAATCTTTATTATTTTTTTAATAAGGAATTTATATAGTTCCAGTAATAGTTTGTCCGTACGGTTAAAATCCGAAATTAGCTAAAGAATAAGAAACAGTTTCTCCTTTTTTTTTATTGTTATATAAATATTTTTAAACATAAATATATTTATGTATATTTTATTAACCTATTTTTGCAATTAGCGATTAAGGCTTTAAAATTGTTAATTTACATTCTAATTAAATTATTAATATTGATATTATTGTTATTATTGTAATAAAATGTAAATTTATCATTAATTTAATAATAATTATTTTATTTATTTAAATAAATGAATATTTTTTATTTATTTAATTAAATAAAAAATTATTTTTAATTTTAAAAATAAAATAATAAAAGAATATATTTATAAATATATATATATATATATATATATATATATATATATATGTTTATATAAATTAATATTTATACATATATAATTTTTAATTTATATATATATTTATATTTTAAAATATTATTTTTATGTCTAAAACTAAAATAAAAAAAAAACAAAAATTAATTATATATTTATATTTTTTTTTATTTTTAATAATTATATTTTTTTTGAATAATTAATAAAATATATATAAATGAATTTAATTTAATATTTTTCAATTATGTTTATAAAGCTATAATTTTTATTTTTCATTTAAATAATAGTTTTATTATATTAATTTCATTTTTTTATAATAATATAATCTTAATTTATCTAATAAATACTTATTAAATATACTATTTACTTTATTTTTCATTTTTTTTTATTTTAGATAGATCTATTATAAAAACATACAGAAAAAAAAAAAATTATAAAAAACAATATTTAAATTTATACTTATTAAATATAAAAAATTAATTTTTTAAAAATAATTAACAAAACTCTTTTTTTTATATTTTAATTTTTTCAATTAAAAAAAAATTAATAAGATTAAAATAATAAATAATTTTTTTTTAATTAATAACAAAATAAAAAAAAAAAAAATTAAATAAATAAATAATAATTATAAAAACAATTTTTTATATATATTTTAAACAAAAAAAAACATCACAATTAAAAAAATAAAAATTAACTTATTTGTTTATTAAAAAAAAAAAAAAAAGTGTTTAATTTATTTATTCTAAGTCCTCAAAAAAAAAAATAATAATAATAAAAAATATACAAATAAATTAAACATATAAAAAAATGTAATTGAATATGACCTAATAATTAAGAATAAGCGAAATTCTACAAAAATGCTCAACATCCTAATTATATTATTTAGATCAAATACCCAAACATGACCTTAGTTTACTTTTAATTCACCTCATTTAAAAAGAAGATAGAGAAGTAGAAGAGGAAATAAGCATAATAATATATATCATTGAATCTATATTTAAATGTTTTAAGGAGTTAAAATAGTTCATATAACCCCAAGAATATACCAAAATGGTCTATTAAATATGTATAACACTAAAACTGTACTAAATTCCCGAAGACTATACCTTATTTAAACAAAACGAGATAGAAAATACATTTTTTTTAATAATATAAGGTGACTTAAAAAATGAGAAAGAAGAATTTTTTTCCATTGGATCCTTTTTTGGTCAAAATATATTTTTAAAATAATAATTTTCTGAAGAAAATTATTCCCAAAAAAATACTTTAATTTCGGTTTCCTCATGTATAATTGCTAAACTGGATTTAAACGAAATCCAAAATATAATCAAAGTCACAAAAAACAGTATTTTACTCGAAAACTTTAATAAAATAGGAGTTTTTAATGGTTAAGATCCTAATTTAGTTAAATAATATTACGATATATCTTAACATCATTAATATTCAATGAATAATATTATATATGAGGCAGGAGAAATACCTTAATATATTTATTTTATATAAAAAGGTGAATTTTTAGTTAAAGCCAGGAAAAATTTTTGTATAAGTGTAGATTAAATAACGTCTAATAATAATATAAACGAAGAAGATAATTAACAAAAAATAAATTAATTTAAAGACCACAGAAATTTCGTGACTTTAAAAATTTTAAGTTAAGGCGAATGTTTTGGCGAAGAGGAAATTTTGGGAAAAAAAGGTAAAGAATTTAAACGAATATACACTATAGTATGTAATTCTAATGAAGGATTTTTATACTAGATAAATAAAAAGGATTTTTTGCGAAAAATAAACTTAAATAATTAGCTATTGAAGATTTTTATAAATTAAATGGAAATAAAATAAAAATTATCGAATGAAATAATATCTAAATAGAAAAATAAAAACAATGAAATGAACCCAAATAATCAAACAGTAAAAATTGTCAGAAATAAACTTGATTTTGTTGATAATATATTCGAAAAATAGGACCTTTTTGACTATAATATATAAAAAAAAAATACTAAAAATAATCATATTGATTAAAAAGCCATAATTATAGAAGATTTAGAAATTGAAAAATATAAATAATTAACAAATAATATTAATAAAGCAAAAATTAAAAACTAATAAACTACAGATAAATCTACTATACTATATGAAGAAAATATGAAATAAAAATCACAAAAAAAAAAATCTAATCTTAAATACAGTACTATTTTTGAAGTATAATGTCTTAAAGATTTCCAAAAAAAACACAATATACCCTACGATTAATTAAATTCTAAAAATGTATTCTCGAAATCATAATTTAATTATAACAAAATTTCCTTATCTGCTTAATCTTCTCCTTCTAGTAAATAATAATATTAAGATACTATTGTCAGATTAAATTAATAAAAATAATAATAATTTTAATCTGCAAAAGATAGCTTATTTAAATAAACTTAATAAGGAAATAGTTAAATTATATAACTACCTCCAATTCGTATATATAGTAATACTCAAGTTATTTAGTCTTTAAATAGTCCAAAGAATTTAAATACGAATGAGTAATTAGTATTAAATAGGGCTTATTCAAATAGTATAAAAAATACATTTAATTTTTACTTGAATACGGAAAATAATAGTAATAAATTTCATAAAGCCAGCATTTTTTAAAATAATGGTAAAATAAGATAAAAATTGTAAGGAGCAGATTTAATTAAATAGGAAAATGATAATTTTAGAAATAAAAATTTTTCAATGTCAATTCCAAAAAATAATATTTTTTGAATATATATATATATATATATGATTTTAAGATAAATATTTAATTATAAATACTTTATTATAAGTTTTAATTATATATATTATATATAATTTAACGAATTAAAAATTAAATAAAATGGATTATAATTAAACAGTAGTCTTATAAAAACAAAAGATAAATATAAAATTATTCTAATTTAATTTTCCCTATAAAATGAAATAAAAATTATAAAATATAGATCATAAACTACCCATTTATATATAGAATGTTTCCCCCATTACCCTCCCTCCAAAAAAAAATAATAATAAAATAAACAATTATAATAAATGAAAAAAAAAATATAATAAATGGAAAAAAAAAGTTTAACAATTAGAATAAGAATATTAATAATAATTAAATTATTAAATATTTAATTTTATATACAAAAATATAATTTTATCTTAAAAGCTAAAAAATATGTAGACATTTAATTATTTTTTTTTTCTTTTTATAAAATATTAACAAAAAATTCGAAAAACTTTCTAATTAATTAATTGCTAATTTTGCATTTTAAAATTAAAGTTTTCAGTATTTAATATTTCTTTTTTTATTAAATATTTTTTTTTTAATATTAATATTTAAGAATAATTTAAAGTATTATAATATAATAAATAATTATATAATACTAAATTAAAAATTAGTTATATGTAAATATTAATATTTACATTAATTCTTTTATAAATAAATAACTTTAATTTTATTAATACATATAATTTTCTAAATTATTTTATTTTTAGATTTATAGTAATGATTATTATTAATATAAGTTTAAAATTTTAATATAATGTATTTTCGATTGATTATAAATTTTTTATTATTTTAATAAATAAAATTACAATAACATAAGTATTTTTTAAAAATGCTAATAAGCTTTTAGATTTTACTATTTATTCTTTAAAAAATAAAATACTATATTAAATATTAAATTAATATATGTTAAGTAAAATATATACCAATTTAATTTTATATGTATTAATAATATATTTAACTAATTATAAATAAAATATATAAATTAAATTAATAATGATTAATTTATATAAAAAAATAAAGTTTTCTAGAAATAAAATTTATCATTTTTCAAAAATATAAAATTTTCAATATAACTTTAAATAAATTTGTTTTAAATATAATAAAATAAAAATTCAATATATAAATATTATTTACAAATACTTAAATATAAAAAAAATTCATGCAATTTTTTTAATTAATAAACTATTAATTTTTTTTTAATATATAAAAAATTTATAAAATTTTAATAAGGATAAATACATTTACTTATAATTTTTAATTTTTAAAAACTTTATAAAAAATTTTAATTTATATTTTCTTATTTAATAACTAATTATAATACTTTTAATTTTAAAAAAAATACTTGCAGGAAAATGTAAAAAACTACTTTTTCTTTATTTTATATAAGTTTTAACATTTATTAAAATACTAAGTTAAATTTTGAAATAAACTATCATATATTTATATTATTTTAAATATGAAATCATTTTTAAATATTATTCTTAATTGTTTATATATACTAATATAAGTTTTATATTGTTTTATTTTAATAACTCTTTTATTAAAGGTGTTTTCATTTCCTAAATATATTTTATTTAAATAATAAAACCCATTAATTATTATTTTATATTTTACATATGTATTTCTTCTTTATAGTTTTTTATCATATCTACATTCTATAAATAAAATCAAATACAATACAATATGTGAATTTTTTTATTAAAAGAACAATTCTCAAATATTATTTTCACATATTAACATTTTTATTTATATTTATATTTATTTGTTTTAGTATATGAAAAATATAGATTTATATTTGTCTACTTTAATATTTTATTTTATAACAAATAATAATAATAACTTTCTAAAAATAATCTCATTTATAAAAACTCATAATATTATTAATTATTTATTATAATAAAATAACATTCAACAATAAATATTTAAACTAAAATATAAAATATTTTCTAAAAAAGACACTATAAATACAAAATAATAATAAAAAAAAACCTTATAATATATATATATTTTTTTTTATATATAAAAAACTAAAAGTAAAAGATAAATAAATAAAATTTCAAATTAAAATAAATAAAAACAACACTAACAAAAAAAAAAATTACATTATTTATAAATAAAATAAATAAATAAATTAAATTTAAAAAAATAATATTAAACAAAAAATAACTAAAAACTATGAAAAGTATTGATGAATATTTAGAAATATTAAAGGAGGGTAAATGTGTGCCTGAAAGGGACTTAAGATTAATTACCGAATAAATAAAAGAAATTTTAATGGAAGAATCAAACGTATAGCCAATAAGAGCTCCGGTAAATATATGTGGAGATATTCATGGCTAATTTTACGATTTATTAGAACTATTTAGAGTAGGAGGAGAAATTCCAATTTAAAATTATATATTCATAGGAGATTTTGTCGACCGAGGATATAATTCCGTAGAAACACTAGAATATTTACTTTGTTTAAAAATTAAATACCCTGACAATATAACATTATTAAGAGGAAATCATGAATCGCGTTAAATAACATAAGTGAAAATCATTTTATATAAAAAAAAAAAAAAAAAAAAAAAATATAAATAAGGCTTATGGTTTTCATGATGAAGTATTAAGAAAATACGGAAATACAAACCCATGGAAATACTGTACAGATGTATTTGATTATTTACCAATAGGGGCAATAGTAGAAGGAAAAGTATTATGTATACATGGAGGATTATCTCCAGAAATAAAAACAATTGACTAAATAAGAATGATAGACAGAAAAATGGAAATTCCACACGATGGTCCTTTCTGTGATTTAATGTGGAGTGATCCAGAAGATATAACTACTTGGGCTATAAATACAAGAGGAGCAGGATGGCTTTTTGGTTCTTAAGTAACTAAAGAATTCAATGAATTAAATGAATTAGATTTAGTTGCTAGAGCGCATTAATTAGTTGATGCTGGCTATTAATATTGGTTCCCAGTATTATAAATTAAATATAAATATAATAAATATAATAAATATATATATATATATTTACTTATATATATATATTTTTATTTTTTATTTATTATTCTTTTTAGGATAAAAATTTAGTTACAGTATGGAGTGCACCTAATTATTGTTATAGGTGTGGTAATATTGCAGCTATTCTTAAGTTGGATGAAAATTTAAACTAAAGTTGGGAAACTTTTAATGCTGTAACTGATGCTTCTAAATAGATTAATCCTAAAAGTTTATTGCCATATTTTTTATGATAAGGTGTATTTTTACATTAATTTTTTATATTTATATATAAAATTAAGATATTTATAATAAGCTCTATATTATAAATATTTTATATAATCAAAAAAGGAAAAACTTTTTTTTTTGCAAAATGTTTTATTTTAATATTATAATATATTATTAATATATTAAAAATAAAATTATTATTTAAAATATAAAATAAAGAAATGATATATATTATTACTAAATAGATATATATAAATAATTATATATTTATATTTTCTTATCTATATAAATTTAATATATATTTATATATAATTTTAGTTTCTTACTGAAAATTTAATTATTTAAATAAAATAAAACATAAAATTTTTGTTAAATACTAAAAATAATTGAATTTTTAAATAGAAAAATTTCTTTTTCTGAACAAAAATAATATTTATTTAATGTAAATATAAATATTACTTTTATTTTTATTTTTATTTTTTTCGGAGCTTACCTATTTTTTAAATATTTCGTAGATTATTATAATATTTTAATTTTATGAAAAAACACTATTTAAATAATAAGAAAATAAATAAAAAACATTTATTTTATTTTAAGAATTTTGATGAAAAATAAAATAAAAGCCTATAAAAAAAATTCAATTAATATTTGGAATTTCTACAATCTAACTAAACTCAAAATTTTCTAAACTGAATTTTTATGTGTAAAAATTAAATATATTTAAAGCTAAAATTAAATCAAACCAATGAGAAAACTAAATATTTAAAATTTATTCATTATCTTAAACCAAAACATTATCAAAAAATAATAAATACTTTTCTATATAAGGAAAAACTTTCTAAAATTAATGTTTAGTTTATTTATCGATTATTTTAATAGAATCACCCATAATAAATCCACAAGTTTTAGTCTATTTTCCCTTAATAAATATTTCATTGAATTATTTATCCCCGAGGACATCAAAAGCACCAGAATAAAATTAAATATCATTTAATTTTATTATATGTTTTAATTTTTATGAATTTTAAATATATTTTTTTAAATCTTTCTTGTCATTTTTAGATAATGTATGCATTAAAAAACAAATATTTTCTAAATTTTAACTTGTAAATTAAGGATTGTATTAATGTTTATTTTTATAATAATATTTTTAATATAATAAACAATTACTATTTAAAATATCTATCACTTATTAAAATCGTTCTGTTTCAATTTTTATAACTAATATAAATTCAAATTATTAAATTATAAAGTTAACTTTGTTTAGAGTATCCATGGCTTAAAAAGCTTAGTCTTTATCTAAAAAAATAACAAATAAATCATCTTTGTATAATACTTATTCATTTAAATAAGAATAATATTATTAGAAGTCAGTAAAATATAGTTCTTATTTTTATTAATAAGTTAAATTATTTTGTTATTCAAAATTTTATTAATGGTTTTTCTTTTTCTTTTTTTTTTATTAAAATTTTGTTATTCTAAATTATTATTATTATTATTATCATCATCATTTTATTTTATGTTTATGCTTTCATTATTTTTATTTATATTTATGTTTTATTTTATATTATTTTATTAATTTAATTATTGATTTTAATTTTATATAGCATAAAAATTATCAAATTTTGAATATAGTATATCTTTATATATTTCTGTCTAGTTAATATTTTAATTATTTATTGAATTGTTGTTTTTATTATTATTAATTATATTTTAAGAAATATTATATATATCATTTATATCATCATCATTCTATAAATTTTATAAACTATAATCAATATTATAATTTTATTGTTATAAATGATATTAGTATTATTATTAATATTATTATTATTATTATTATTATTATTATTATTATTAACTTTTTTTTCTAAACTTAAATTACTATTTTATTCTATTTTTTATGTATCTATTATATCATTATTAATGCTTTTTTTATTTATATATATATTATTATTTAATAATTAATTATTATTATTTTTTTATTCAATTAGTTCTTTTACCATTTATTTTAATTCATCAAATCCTTCTTAATAAATTTTATTTTAATTTTTGATTTCCTCTATAATTTTATTGTATGGATTTATTTAATATGAATTCTGATTAATATTTTATACATTTTCATCATCATTTGTAATTTATTAATTTTAATTTATTTAATTATTTTAATTAAATATATTCTAATATTCTAATATTTAATTTTATTACGTATTATTAATTTATATAGACTACTATTACGATTATTAAGTTTATAAATTTGAATATTTATGGCTATATTATTAATTTTATTACTAATTTTTATTAATATCTTATTATTTTTCTATTTATCTCCTTTAATTACTATTATCTTTGTATTGTTTATAATTATAATTCTAATCATTATATTAATAATTATTATTTTTATTATAATAATAAGCCCCATATTCATATTTATTTCTAAAATATTATTATTTTTATTAAAAATATACTACTTAACAATTTTTTATATCTTCAATATTTATTAAAGAATATTCAATTTCTTTACATTTAACCCTATTATTATTTTACATATTCTTAATTTCATTTATAAACTAACTCAATTTATATCTTTAAGTCGAACCTTAATCTCTATATACACTTTCAAATTCATATTCGCTAAATTCTTATCTATATGCATATAAAGTATTTAAGTTTTTGCCTTGTTTTACTTTAATTCGTAAAACCCATCTTCCTTTAATTATTTGACCCCATTTGACTAACGGAACATAGTCAACTTCTATTTCATCAGAACATTCCGGTTCAATTAATCTTTTTATACTTTTTATTTATTCATTTAATATATCCTATTCTTTTATTGTTAAATGTATCCCTTAAACTCTATAAATTAATATATATATATATATATATATATATATATATATATATATATATATATATATATTA